CCTGCTGGACCCAAAGTCCCGCGAGACGTGTGTCCCGTTCTACCCCTGGGCTAAAGTACCTGCCTATGTTAGGATACGTACGTCCCATGGATGATCGGAAGGGTATCCCGTGGTTTTGCGCCTTCTGGGGACGTTCGTCATCATGGGCTTCCTGCTGGGCCAAGTCCTGCGAGTCGTGCGTCGCGTGCTGCTTCTGGGCCAAGGTACCTGCCTACGCTAGGCTACGTACGTCCCTGGATAATCGAAAGGGTTTCCGTTGTCTTGAGCCTTATGGGGACGTTCGTCTGCATGAGCCTTAAGGGTTTATGGGTCAACCCTCATTGGGTCAGTAACCCAACACGGCCAAAACTTTATTTCCCAGTGTGGTCCCGATTCATAAACCGGCCGATCCCGATTCGATTCCGGGACTATGACTACGTCAATGAGTCCATCCCTATTTTAGGATATTTTTTCTTTTACATATTTCTTTAAGACTCTTAACTATCACAATTCTAGGATGACTCCAGAAAAATCATTAAAAAGGGTAATTTGTCAAAGTGTGTTTAGTACGGTAACAGAAATATAGAGTATATATTTACTTTTTGAAAAGTAATTCCGGTATAAATAAATTGTTTGTAAATGTAGCGTAAATTAGCTGTTTTGAATAGAAAATAGGGAAAGAAAAGTTGGTTAATGGTGTAAGATTTCATACTTTTTTAAAGTACTTTTTGAATTTTAAAGAAGAAAAGTTAAACGAAATCATTACTACGTACGTACTATATCATTTATATATAGGATTACTATAAGAAGATGGCGAGAAAATAATAAGATACTATTAAATAAATGCCCTGAGTAAATAAATAAGATTGTAGCAGTATGATAACAATTACATACTTCGTACTTTTTAAAGTACCTGTTGAATTAAAAAAAACGGTACTATGTACGTAATAATGGTAATATATAATATATGTATATAGGAATATAGGATCATAAGAAGATGGTGAGAAAATGTTTTTTTTTCTTCAAAGAAAATAAAAGCAGAAAAAGATAAAATCTAAGACTAGTTCATTAGCATCATTCTAAGGAATTTGTTCAATCCAATGGTGTTGGCTCAAGAACTGAAAGACTCTTTGAATTGGAGCTTCAGACTTCATGTGCAACATTAATAAACCTATTAATTAGCACATTCATTTCCTTCTTGACAAAATTATGTCAGTAAAATCAGAAAAAGTGAGGCGGAGCTAAGCTGAAGGATCATCAACTCAGTAAATTTTTCCAAATGACTTATTAATATTTAACACCACCCAACATGAAATTTTTTAAATGTAAGACGTGACTAAATTCAAGAAGGGAAATCGACGTTGGAGATATATATATTTACCTTTTACTCTGACCGTGTTATGCGGCAAATTATACCGTACAACCGGCGCACCATGAGGATGGTGCGCCCGGTTGTAAAACAACGGAATATGCCTATTTTTTTTTTGCTTTTGTTAAAAAATGATAATAACTTTTTTATTTTTGATCCGATTTTTATAAAATTTATATCAACATTTTTTATTTATCATGATCTTTCAAATGAGACCAATATTGCTTATGTAATTTTAAGAAATTATCGAACTATTATATTAATGAGTATTAGATTATAAGGAAAATCGAATCTGTTTGGAGATGATAGGTTTGTGAAATAGAAGATGGAATCTGTTTGGGAGTGGATCAGTGACCTCAGTTACATTTGATAATACATTGAGGTACATCTTTTTATAAGCAAGTTACATCTTTTTATAAGTGAGTTACATATATATACACACGAGTTGCATTTGACATGCCTGAACGCGAGTTACATATATTTACACGTAAAGTTACATATTTTTACACGTAAAGTTACATATTTATACACGCGAGTTACATATTTATACACACGAGTTGCATTTGACCTGTCCGAACGCGAGTTACATATTTTTTTACGTAAAGTTACATATTGTTACACGTAGAGATACATATTTATACACATGAGTTGCATTTGGCCTGACTGAACGTGATTTACATATTTTAACACGTAAAGTTACATATTTTACACGCAAATGTTAATATGTTAAAATTACATATGCAATATTGGTCTTATTTGAAAAATCATGAAAAATAAAAAATATTGATATAAATTTTATAAAAATCGGATCAAAAATAAAAAAGTTATTACCATTTTTTAAAAAAAGAGAAATAAAAAATAATGAATTCAATACCTTGCTTGCCAAAAACGTATGACGGTATACGGTGCTGACCTTATACCTGTCATACGGTATACCAACTGATGTTATGCAAAGGTTCTCACTTTCCTTTATTGGACGTCCTACTTAAATGTTTCATTTTCTATTTTAAGAAACAATTAACTAAGGATGTTTTTACTTGGACCGTAATTTGCTGGTCTTGTTTGGTCTGGTCTGTTTTGATCTGGTCTAGTCTCGTCTGGTCTGAAATTTTGTTTTTTATATTTTTTGCATAAAGATTTTATTTTTTATATATATTATAATTATATTTTATTCATTTATAATTAAAAATAATAATAGTAATAATAGTAATAATACTAATAATAATAATAATAATAACAATGATGGTGATGATGATGATGATGCTGATGATGATGATGATGCTGATGATGATGATAAAATATGAGCTGGTCTGAAATTTTATTTTTTATATTTTTTGCATAAAGATTTTATTTTTTATATATATTATAATCCATAAATAATTATATTTTATTCATTTATAATTAAAAATAATAATAGTAATAAAAGTAATATTAGTAATAATACTAATAATACTACTTAGGCTTGGACTCGGGCCGGGTCGGGCCCGGGCCGGGTCTAGGCCCGGGCCGGGCCGCCGGTTCTGTATCCATAGGCCCGAGACCGGCCCGGGTCTTGACCGGTTCCGGGCCGGGCCGGGCCGGTTCCGGTTCATTTTTTTTTATTCTTATTTATTTCACCCCCCACCCCCCAACCCCCCAACCCCCCCAACCCCTCGGAAATACCCAGCCCAGCCCAACTAACCCCAGTCCAAACCAAAAAAATCAGAAAAAAAATAAAAAAAAGGCCCGAACCGGGCCCGGTCCGGCCCGGCCGGTTCCCCTTTTCCCTTACCCGTGCCCGGAACCGGTAGACCCCCCGGGCCTAGACCCGAACCGGAACCGGACCCGTTTTCCCGCGCCGGGCCGGTCCCGCACAGTAGCGGGCCGGGCCGGTCCCGCACAGTAGCGGGCCAAGCCGGTCCCGCACAGTAGCGGGCCGGGCCGGTTCCCGGTCCGGGTGGCCCGCACCGAGTCCAAGCCTAATACTACTACTAATAATAATAACAATGATGATGATGATGATCATGATCATGATGACGACAACAATGATGATGATAATGATAATAATAATGATAGTGATAGTGATAGTGATAATGATAATGATAATGATAATGATAATGATAATGATAATGATAATGATAATGATAATGATAATGATAATGATAATGATAATGATAATGATAATGATAATGATAATGATAATGATAATGATAATGATTATGATTATGATTATGATTATGATTATGATAATGATAATGATTATGATTATGATTATGATTATGATTATGATAATGATAATGATAATGATAATGATAATGATAATGATAATGATAATGATAATGATAATGATAATGATAATGATAATGATAATGATAATGATAATGATAATGATAATGATAATGATAATGATAATGATAATGATAATGATAATGATAATGATAATGATAATGATAATGATAATGATAATGATAATGATAATGGTAATGATAATGGTAATAATAATTATTATTATTATAATTATAATTATAATTATAATAAGAATAATAATAACAAAAATAATAATAACAATGATAATAACAACAATAACAATAACAACAACAATAATAGTAATAGTAATAATAATAATACTAATAGTAATAGTAATTAGTATAAATCAAATCTTATAAGTTACACAACTTGTTTTTAGTCTATACTCTATACCGTTGTATCAAAAAGGGGTTATAACTAAACGACTCCAATCTAAATGCCCTGAAGGCCAATCTTCCTCTTCGGTCTTCCTCTTAGTTTCTTTTTTTTCGACAGTCCAGGTGTCGGTGCTTGCACTCCCCTAATCCTGGAGTCTATTGACTACCCTCCAAAGCCTCTAGACAGTCAAATCTGGATATTATCACAATCAGCCTTCGTCGGTGCTGGTACCACAGTACGAATCCAGCAGGACTTCCTTTCAACTGAATCCAGAAGGGTCCTACTATGTAGGGCTTCCTTTCATTTGTATCCGGAAGGATCCTCCCACCACGCGAACTCGCGACCTAAATTTTCATCCGCTCCCTTCTAAGCCGTTGTGCAACTCCATTAAGGTAGGAAGAACCATTGGAAGCAAGACCTCCCTCCTCTCTCCTAAATGTGTGTAGCGGAATTCGAACCCGAGACCTCCGCTTGGACACGATGACCTCCCATCCAATGAGCTGGAATGGTTGGTTTCCTCTTGTTTCTCGATTAGATCAATGTATCAAACTTATTAGGTACTAGTCTTCAATAGACCTGATCAGACCATAGAACGAAAAATTACAATCCAATTAAAAACATCATTATTAAAACATTTTAGTAAAAATGTTGGACCCAACTCCAGAGTCCAGACCATCCGAGTTTTTTTATCAGAAAGACAAGACAATTAGGGGTTTAGGTAAAAACAAACAAAGATTTTTGAAATTTGGGATAGGCCACGCCGCCGGGCCTAGCATGACCCTAGCACCGCCCCGGCCAAACTGGGACTAGAATTAAATTTTTACCGGATCTGGTTAAGGTTCCTACTCGAGGGTGAGGGGACAGAACTAGCATGTGCCCACCCCTTGTCTCGATCCAGGCCTCATCATCTTCTACTCTATTAACTATTGAAAAATGTAGGCTTCCTACCACTTCCACCCCTAGAATCAATTATTATTTGCAAAAAAATATGAGCTTTGTTGACATTTTTTTCTTCTCAAAGAAAATAAGAAAAATAACAGAAGGGATCCATTGTATAGCAAACAAGGGAACACAATCAAACGTCATTTTTGCAGGCACAGCACGGCCAACAAACGCATAACTAGAATAGAGTCTAACAAGGAAACAAAACATGGAAGCAAATCCTCCCCTTTTCAACACCTCATAATTTATTATCAATACTGGCCATGAGCCATGAATGAACATGGCAAGCGTACAGTACCAGGTTCAAAGTCATTACTAAGGAGTATGGAGTACTACTAGCTTACTTCTCCTTGGTGTAGTTTCGGACTACAAAAGCCAATCCCAATATCAAAAGGGGTACGAGGAACTGCAAAATCTTCACCACGAAATCCGGAGACCTGTCGGAGCTTTCCGGAGCTTGTGGATGTAGCCCTGTGTAATCACGCTTCTTTGGAACCGTGGACTGGTCTATCACCCCAATGCAATATTCCTCCATTATCTTTCTTGCTTCATCGCTGTGCCCGACATCCTCGAAATCATTGGTTCCATCCTTCCCTGTGTTCATCATTACATATATTACATCAGAAACCAGAAGCTGTTGTCTTAACTTCTTTTTTTATTTAATACAAAAGAGCATCGAGTGAACATTTGGTCCTTTTGGTAGGTGTGTTTCGGCTGAAATGGCCTAATCGGCTGAATTTTCTGAAACAAAAGTGTTTGGTAACATATACTACCTCCGTCCCTTAAAATTTTGACAAAGTTGACCGGCACGGAGAATAATAAAGTAAAAACTGTGTGGTTTAGATTTGTGCAGAGGAGAGAGAAATAACAGAAACCACAAAATAATTGATTAAAAAGGAAAGTGGCAAAGTTTTTTGGAACATCCCAAAAAGGAAAGATGGCAAAGTTTTAAGGGACGGAGGGAGCATCTGTTAGAACACTGGTAAATCCCACTCACAATAAGAGAGAATTAGAAAGAATAGATCAAGAAACTGATCAAGAAAAGTTTACAGAAGGTATACAGTAGCCACAGACAATTCGAGATGCCTAATCCTCCAAATTCAACTAAATACTTGCCTCCCTCTTTTTCCTCCCCTCCCCTTCTATTTATACTACATGTACACTTATTATTATCTACATGTACACTTATTATTATTATTATTATTAATATTTCTATTATTAGCCTAATAGGCCTGATTCCTATCACTTTCTCACCAAAATAATTATTAACTTAATGTTGTTGATCAAGAACACAAGCCAGAAGTGGCGATCAAACGGAGCGAAGGAATCAATAAGTTACCAGTTGCTGAAAGCAAAACCTCATCGCCTCCTGGATGATCTTCCATGAATGGAGTGACATCATAAACCTAAACAAAATATTTAAAGGGGCAAGTTATAAAACCACAAACTCTCACATGCACAAAGAGAGAGCTTCGGGTAAGACAGAGGTACAAGAAAAAGATAATGCAATGTTTAGCTAATAGGATTCCAATTGAAATCCTGGATTTGGGTTTAATTTAATGTTTGGGAATACAAAAAATGGATTTGGATTTTGACTCAAACCACGAACTACACATGCTCCTATATATATTTTGAATTACTTCGAAAGTAGATAGAATTTGACTTCTAAAGTTTCAAATTCAATTCAAACATTTGAGCCCAAACACTAGCTAGTTTATTCAATGGAGAGAAAAAAAAAGTAAAAAAGAAAATTTAGTACAGAGTAATAGTTTATTGTTGCAGCATGTAGATAACGTGAAAAATGAAATTACAGATCCAGCAAAGATGTCAGTTGTAACCCAGAAATGTCAATTAGGCTCCTTATTGATTGCCCATATATTTCTTGGCCCTGATTTTACTAGTGAACAATATGAACTTCAAACACAACATCTTAGGATATCTATAACATCCAAATTCCTTCATAATAATTTAGCCTTTGTTATTCAAAACGAGAGTAGAAGAGTGGGGATGCAGATTTACTTTAGATGACAATGACAACTGTCAACATTAACTTGTTCCGTGTTATTTTAGATACAATTTCTGTTTAATTTAAAATATGGGGATTTCTTAAGGTTGCCCTTAGGTTTGTGACATTTCTCAAAATGACACGAGATATTCAAATTTCTAAAAATAGCCCTGATGTAGGCTCATATACCAATTTGCTCATGTTGAGCAACACCACAACCCTCAGGGTGCCTCAAGAAAATTCCTGTAAGGCCATAATAATATAGTAAGTTGTACAAGTGTCTAACATTGATTAAAAAAGGTGAAAATCAAATTACGAAAAATATTACTCATTCGAAATACCTCAAATCGGGGGAGCCAGGTGTCAGGAATTGGGAGGGGTCTTAAGCTCTTCCCCTTTCCTCCCCTACCCTCCAACCAAACAAGGGCTAACGATTTAGAAAGAGCCCGAAAATGGAATAGAATCCCACAACTCAAGGAACATCAGCTACGGGATGAACCGTGCTTACTTTAAAACATGACCAAGGATTTTTGAAATAGACTATTTTCAGTCACAGACTAGATTTCACCTAAACAAACCACACTAGATCACTAGACTCACTCTTTGCAGTCTTCGTCCCAAACTGTTTCTCTCAGTTCGCAGGCTTCCTCATCTGCTATCAGTTCGCGTCAAAATATGACGCGATCGAGAGAATCTCTTGGTTCGCAGACAACAGCCAACAAACGTGAGATATCCAGGAACCAAGGACATAGCCGAGAAGGGAGAGAGATAGAGCTACTGCTATTCAATGGTGGTGTTTCCGGGGGCCCTAGCAGAAAATATCAGTCAAGGAGTTGCAGATGATGATAGTGCAGCAAATATGAAAATAAATGGCATTAAGGTTCCCAAAATATACTGGAATCTTACGCGTAAAGAGGTTCGTACAATGGAAGAGATTGATGGAATAAAAAATACAAATGGTGATAAAGGCTTTGTAAAATCTTCTAAGATGTTAATTGGTAAAAGGATCGGAGTCGGTTTTATATATTTAGCGATGCTGAATGTAATATTCAGTGGGTGAATGCTCTTGATAATCCGACTGATAAGCTGTCCTCAGAGGTTTTCAAAGAGACTGGTGAACAGAAAAACATTGTTCAGACCCGAAATGATTGTTGTTTGGTTTGAATCAGCAGAAGCCGAAAATAGCGAGGTTCTCTGGACGGTCCGCTGTGCTCTTCTTGCACCAAGGAGCAAGTTAGTTGGGCATCTTACTGTCATGAAGAAATTCTGGTACTCATCAGGTGATTTTTAGTTGAAAGTATTGGAAGATCATCTATTTTTAAAAACTTTGACTGTCCAGGAATGTTTGATCTATGTAAGGTTGAACTGGGAATATATTTCAGTAATCCTAAATCTGAAAAACATTTGGAGGATGGGGAGAATGAAGTGGGGAGTTGTGAAGCTGTGGTTGAAAGCATATTCTATCCTAAGAATCTTGATGGAGTACAGCAATTTGCTTCTGAGAAAGGAATAAGCTGCACTTTATTGGTAGGTATACACATGCTTATGATAGGCAGACTCCTATTCAATCCTTCCACAACTCAAAAGAGGTTAAGAGGGCAATTATGGGGATACTTGCCGATGGCTCAGGACTAAACCTCTCAGCAGATCAATATGTTGTCCTGTTGGAACTACCAAGGGAACCTGCACACATGCTACAGGCTGGAGATAGAGCTCATAGACAACGGCAAATGCTGACTCAATCACACCAGCAGCCTAAAGGGATAATCCTCCAAAATGATGATGATCACAGTGAGATGCAGGAACTACGGGGATGGAGTGGAATTCCAAAGGTGAAAGAAGTGAAGCCGAAGGGTCAAGTAATGAAGAACATGGTCAAGCAATCAGGGAGGTACTGGGAGGGGAGAAGCGCAAGGATGAAGCGGTTGGTCAGGACTGTTTCCTACCTCCCACCTTGAGGACAAGGTGGTTGTCAAAGGGGGGTGATGATGAGGACCTGGACAGTCAATAATAATAAGAATAAGACAGTAATACTCCGTAGTAAATAGTGTGATATTGTATACTTAAGTGTTTTGGGCCAGGTATTTCAAGAAGTTCGGGCCGGCCCTTAAGAATATAATTACTATAAGAGTGGGAAGAAAGGAAGAACGGGGTTAGGCAGATATTTGGTTAGGCTTGGGCTCGGGACAGGGAGACTGCTCCAAGTGTCTCAAAACTGTTCTTCTCTTACGTTCTTTCTGTTTTCCATCAATTCAGTTGTAATTCATCAGGCTCCATATTCAATAAAATCCTAAATTGCTGCTGCGTTTGTTGAGTAACTATCATATTCTTACTTGGCCTACCATTTTGTTCCAATTTGTCTGTCCAGATCTCATCTATGTCCCTGCCTGACCCCACATGGGAGTAGGTGAATTCACCTGTTCCCTTAGCGTCTGATGCTTTTCAGAATGTCCTCCGTCGGTCCGTGCATCACATAAAAGAGAGAAACGATATTGAAGTCTTCTAATATAAAAAAGAGAGTTGTGTTTGGGATAAAATGAAGATTATTTAGTGATGAATTTGCTAGAATATAATAAAAACAAGTTTAATATGATTAAAAGTTTAAACTAAAAAAAGAACTATAAAAATTACGTAGTATCATTTATGATTTGTATCAAACTAACAACTGTAGCTTGCCAGTAGCAAAAATTTGTTCTCTAGTCAAACATGACTCTTTTATGCAACAGTCGCGCATAAATTCCACTAATTATGAGACGAGTAAATGATTAGTGAGTTCAGCTCATGCCAATTTGAGATGTGTTTGGGATCTATCCTTCTCCACATATAGAAGAAGGATAATTCAAATGGGAAGGATTCAGTTCTTTGGCCGTGTTAAAACTATTTAAATGAACCACCTTACTATCTAGATTTAAAACACATGAGACATAGGGCAGCCCAGTGGATGAAGGCATCCCCGCAAGGGGGTCCTGGGAAGGGTCCCACCATGAGGGTATTAAAGGGGCAAACCTTCCCTGTCAAATTTTTGACAAGAGACCGCTCCCAAGAATAAATTCTCTGAAACAAATAAATTGAATTCTCTGGAGGGGGGACTTTGGACAGCTTTGTATATATCTTGATTTGTTTCTAAAATTGAATAAAGGTTGATTGAAATGCTACATGAATATGCTTTCACTTTTATTAGAAAATCACTACACGCACACAAAACCCTTTATCCAAACTGCCCCTGAGGAAATCATCAAAACATTCCACCTCAACATTGAGAAAAAAAGGATGCTTTATAGGTCTACGACACTAGTGAGCACAACTCAAGAAGACAACCCAATTACTAACAAATGATTACAATTCCAACCAGAAATTAAGTATTGAAAATTCACAATAACCACAAAACTTAACGAATATCAATCAACTGAATCACATCAAGGCGCGAGAAATAATTAAAGACGTAACCTTCCCATGGATAATAAGCCAGCAATCTTTGGTCTGGTTGTGCTTGGAGACCTCCTCAAAGCTATGCACTTTCTGATCCGAACTCATTTCCTAACAGAATTCCGCACAGTAAATTGGGGGAAAGGCTTGATTAAACTGGAATCTTAATACGGATTGACCAAGATAAACTCACCCAATAGATACACCGAGAAAAGTCAATGAAAAGACTTTGCCTTTTCTTTTCTTTTTCCCTATCTGCTCCTCTCTCTAACGTTTGCTCTCTTGAATAGTGAATACTGGGAATTAGACTTTGAGGCTTGGGACGTTGAGACTTGAGAGTGTGCTCGCCCAACGCATAGCTGTCCATTTATTACTGGTACATCATAAAAATAGAAATACGGAGTCACAAATAATATATAGACGGAATGATCGAATGGATACATGAACTAACTTAAAGTGTTCAATTAGCCTCTTATATAGGAGATTTTGCCCGAACGTCGCCAATTGGGGCGGTTCCCGCTAACAATTTTTGATAAATTTTTTTGAGCATCTTCTTCATTAAGTCTAGTTTACCCATATCAAATTTCAGCTAAAAATTAAATCGGGAAGGCAATCAAATGATTTTCCGAAATGTATTGCGTTGTTTAACTGCGCAGTTCTCTTCAAAAATCATTTGACTGCCTTTCCGCTTGATTTTTTAGCTGAAATTTGGTATGAGTAAACTAGACTTAATGAAGAAGATGCTCAAAAAATTTCATCAAAAAATTCCACCGGGAACTTCCCTAATTGGCGACGGCCGGGCAGAACCTCATATACAAGGGGCTAATTGAACACTTTAAATTAGTTTATGTACATATTTGACCCTTTAGCCATAATATATACCTCCGTAATACAAAGATGTTCCCATTTTGACTTTTCACGATCTTCTAAGTTGAATTTTGACTCTAAATACCTACATATTTATATTCATAAAATTCATAATAAATTAACATTCAAATAATATGTTTTACAATGAGGTATATGAAATAATTTTTTAATCATAACATAATATGAGTTTTGAATAATTAATGGTCAAAGTTTATAAAGTTTGACCCAAAAAAGTCAAACTGGGAAGATTCTAAGGTTACGGAGGTAGTATAATCTTAACATAAAATAAAAACTTGTAAAATTGAACGAGGGTTTGCGTACTTCAGTTTTTCCTGAATTAATGCGAATTAATGCAAATTAAATAATTATTTATCAAAATAATGATGGTTTTAAAATATTTATCAATATACTGATGGGCTTAATCCGGGTTGGAGAAAGTTGCCAAACGGGATGGTGACTTCCCCTTGCACCTGCAACACCAGTAAGTTCAAATCAGATACAAAACAGAACAGAATTACAATGATACACATCAATGCACATGATCACAAACACAAAATAAAAACACAATATAGACATCCAATATGCATAACCAAGGCTGCGCAAAGGATCAACGATGAAAGCCACACATATTCTTTCTTTGTCCATTTACTTGTAGGGTATGGGGCAAGATTAAAGATTGGATTGGACTTAGACACCAAATGACAGCAATGCTTAATGCAATCAAGTGGATCACAAAGGCGCACAAAGGATCAACGATGAAAGCCAAGGCTACCCGTCTAGCATTATGTGTTGCGGTCTACTACATTTGGCATGCGAGGAATGAGATCCGGTTTGATGATGGGAAGAAAACGGAAGATGATGTTGTAGCCAAGATCAAGCATGTTGTGTACAAGATACTCTATAGCATCTAGGCACTTGACTTGATCAAATTTTGAGTGGAGCCAAAGGCCTTTTTTGGATACCACGACATAGGCATTGACCAGATTAGTGTCCGTGCACCTTGCAGCACCATTCTTTAGTTTTTGAGTTTTGGGCCGCCTATTTTCGCATATTTTTGAGTCAAACATACAATAACATAAATACAATAACATAAATACAATCGAGTAAATCAAGTGGATCACGAAGGCTCATAATGATCACTCACTCACCTACTCTCGGCTTTGTCCCTTGGGTTTATTAAGCCATAGGAACATGTTCTCTCAGTACTGGAGCACTCGGTATGCTTTGTCATTGTTAGGCACCGGGGAGGATAACATTGAACACTCCCCCTAAATTGTTGCATCCGTTGAGAGATTCCTTGCTTTGTCAATGTAAGGCGCCAGGAGGAGAAAACTGAAACTCCCCCTCAGAATGTGCAAGGATTGATTGCTCACAACTCGTCATACCCGCCATGTGTGTGGAGCAATCTGAACAAGTACCACACATGACGGTTTCCCTAAGCTCATCATTCAGAATTTCAGCATATTGATGATCACACAATGTTGATGAGTTAGGGGAGCCTTCACTAGTTGATTGTTGATTGTTGTAAGATGACCATTGACGCGAGGTTGATTGAGTTATCTATGATTTTCGGACCTCTACAGTGTAGCTTAGACCTTATTTGACCATTGGTTTGACTTTGAAAGAATTTGATCAGATTTGCCTAAGTTTTGACCATGAAATCGGTGATTTACAAAGTTTGTCGGAAAACGAACGTTTTGACCCTCAAGGACTGCGCGTGAGGGCGCGTGAAAAAGGGTTCTGCAAACCCCTAGAATAAATGTAGATCTTTTTGTCAGCTTTCCAACAAAAAAATCGCTTAAATCGGATCACCGAGTCAAAAGTTATGGCCAAAACAGTGCGATATCGCTGAAAATCTCGAAATTTTGAGTTTTTGACGAATTTCTTCGAAGTTGAGGTTCTCGATGTTGAATATCTAGAACAGGTGGGATTAAGGAAAATTTTAAGGCAATACCTCGAAATCCTAATCTCGAGATTTAAATCTTGAGATTACAATCTCGAGATTTAAACTTCGAGATCACAATCTCGAGGTTTAAACTTCGAGATCACAATCTCGAGGTTTAAACTTCGAGATCACAATCTCGAGGTTTAAACTTCGAGATCACAATCTCGAGGTTTAAACTTCGAGATCACAATCTCGAGGTTTAAACTTCGAGATCACAATCTCGAGGTTTAAACTTCGAGACCGCAATCTCGAGGTTTAAACTTCGAGACCGCAATCTCGAGGTTTAAACGTCGAGACTGCAATCACGAGGTTTAAATCTCGAGATTACAATCTCGAGGTTTAAATCTCGAGATTACAATCTCGAGGTTTAAATCTCGAGATTACAATCTCGAGGTTTAAATCTCGAGATCTTAATCTCGAGGTTTAAACTTCGAGATCTTAATCTCGAGTTTGCCTCGAAGAATAATGGCGAAATCCACCTGCAAAACAAACCTTGAGACTTCGAAATCTTTAGAATTTCAAGTTATTTGGAACATCGAAAACTTTGGAGTTTCGAAAACCTCATAATATCAAAAACTTGATGTTTGAAAAACATCAGAACATCAAAAAACTTCTAAAAACTTTGATAAGCAGGGAATCATATGAATATCCTATAATGTAAATCTTCGATGAACTGCGAAGAATGTCAAGTTTCGAAAAATTCTGAGTTTCAAGAAACTGCAAACTTTGAAAGATTCAAAACATTGAGAAATTCCTAAAATCTCGAAATCTTTCAGAATGTCGAGATCTTCAAATATCGAAATCCCAAATTTTGAAGTTTCGTAAACCCAAAATGTCGAGATCCTGCAAAATTAAAATTTCGATTTTTGAAAAATTGAAACTTGTTCTGAATAGCCCTGAAGGTCGAGATTCTCCCTGTATCAGTTTCAAGTCAAAATCGTTTCTGCAGTCATGTAAAATCAGAATCTCGAGATCCTAATGTAGAAATCTTCGAAATTTAAAAATTGCAGAAATCGAAAACGAAGATATGTTGTAGAATCATTTTGTAAAGGCGATTCCAACAGTATAATTTTTTTTTAGATTTTCGTTCACAAACAAGATTACAGGAGCAAATCTCTATATCAAAGAAAAAAAGAAAAGCAGAGCAGTTCTTCATTAGATTCGAAAAATCGCAGATACATTCAACCAGTTTCACGCCTCGGCTCTGATACTAAGTGATAAATCTTGTTATCTAACAATCTAACAATCATAAGCAATGAAGAAAAAGCAAATAGAAAGATATCGAGAAGATTAAAACCAAATCTGGTATACCGTGAACATGACCGCTGCTCTCCCTCGAGAAGGAGAGCAGCGGAAAACCTATCTCTCTATCTCGCCTGTACGCACTCTCAAACCTAGAAAACCTTAGGGTTTCCATAAGTTAGCCTCCTTTTATAGGAGAAGTTGGCTAACTTATGGATTACAAAGAAGCTAATGGCTTTGTCCCTTGGGTAGGCTTAGTTGGGTTTACTAAGCCATAGGAACATGTTCTCTCATTGATTTTCTCTCTGTACTCCCCCTCAACTGGAGCACTCGGTATGCTTTGTCATTGTTAGGTACCGGGGAGGATAACATTGAACACTCCCCTAAAATGTTACATCTGTTGAGAGATTCCTTGCTTTGTCGGTGTAAGGCGTCAGGAGGAGGAAACTAAAACTCCCCCTCAGAATGTGCAAGGATTGATTGCTCACAGCTCGTGATACCCGCCATGTGTGTGGAGCAATCTGAACAAGTACCACACATGACGGTTTCCCTAAGCTCATCATTTAGAATTTCAGCATATTGATGATCACACAATGTTGATGAGTTAGGGGAGGCTTCAGTAGTTGATTGTTGATTGTTGTAAGATGACCGTTGACACGAGGTTGATTGAATTATCTACGATTTTCGGACCTCTACAGTGTTGATGGATAGTGTACCCGAGGGTAGCTTATCCGAGGGGTTATTACGGGGAATAACAAGAGAGAAGTCAGAGCAAATAAGAAGAGAGAGAAAGTATATTAGAAAGTATGCAGCGTGTGTATTATGACTTGTGTCTTCTTTTTTACAAATGGGGAAATGGGGTGCTATTTATAGTAGCAATAAATGCCGGACAGGGACACGTGTCAAGCATTCATTGGCCGAGAGGTCACCTCAACTGGTTGGCGCTGGCAACCGCATGTGGTCGCATTTAATGCGGCTGTTGGATGAGACGTTGTACAGGGTACGGTGATCTGTACGCATGTGGCGCGGATATCATGTCGGAAAAGGTGCCCTCGGCTGTAGAGGACTAGCCGAGGGCTCTGAGTACCGGGGACCCCCTTGGTGCCGAGGGCTACTGATTTTCGCCGTTTTTCCTAGTAACTTTTTTTTGCTGTCTTGGCCCTCCTGTGAGAGTTAGAGCCTTCGGCCAGGGGGCCGAAGGCACCCCTGGTGCGCATTTGTGGGCTGCTTGGTACCTTGGGCGCCGTGATTTGGGCCTGTTGTGCTTTCTGGACCTGTTGGGCCTTTATTGGAGTAGTAGGAGTCTGTGGGCCGGGGGTTCACGGGCCATATACTCCATCAAGTGTAGTTTA